CATAAGCCTAAAGTATATATAAGTTAGTAACATCTTCTGTTCAAGGCTGGCTCTTACGTAAGTCTTGTTTAGCCCCAGTTGGCCAGGGACTTTAGTAAAGAGCTTTTTTTTTTTTTTTTTTTAGCTCTCAGTGTGCTGGGTGATTTCTCACCAAGAAATCTTACTATTTCTAACACAATACTAAAACACTTACTTAATGTGCTTTAAAGCAATACTAGAAGCATTTCTCTATAGTGAAGGGCACATATATGAACACAATAATTTCTACAGAATGGTAAAATAATGTTTGCTTTATTATAATGGCAAAAAATGACATTCCATGGTGGAAATATAACAAATTTGTTGTGGTTTTGACATTCTATGGTGGAAATATAACAAATTAGTGGTTGTTGTGGTTGGGATGAGATATCCTCCATAATTTTGGTCATTTGAGTATTTGGTCTCCAATTGGTGGCTCTGTTGCAGGAGACTTAGAAAGTGTGGCCCTGCTGAAGGAAAATGTCACTGAGGGCAGGTTAAAGGCATGCACCATTTCAAGTTCACTCTGCTTCCAGTTTGTGGTCGGGGATGTGAGTCTTTTGTTCTCATCTCCCAGTCCCACTCACTGTGCCTGCCTTCTGTCATGGGCAATGATGGTGATGGATTCTTACTGCTCTGGAACTGTAAGCCCCAAACAAACCCTTCCTTCTGTAAGTTGCCTTGGTTATGGTGTTGTATCGCATGGCAAAGAAAAGTAACTATTTCAGTGTTATCAACTTACAGAGAAATATGGTGGAGAAAGCACACGTGCAGCTAGCATCCCACCTGGACCAGTGGTGGTTCCAAAAGACCGAACATCTTTGGTCACCTGTCTCCCATTTTAACGTGCTTGGCATATTCTCTTACCACATGCTGGCTGTCTTATGCTCCAGGGTAGAATGGAGGCTGTGCTCTTTGCTCTTAAAAACTACACCCCTGTCCGATTTTTCTGATGGTGCGAGAATCCATGGTTTTGGCAATAGTATCATACCTAGGTATTATTCAATGAGCATTGTTGAATAAAGTTTAATCTTAAGACAATCCATGTGTTTATACAATTTTTTTGGTAGAAAATGAAAAGAATAAAGAGGAAAGTATAGATAAGGAAGGTTGTAAGTGGAAGTTGGTTCTAGAACGCTTTATATCTGACTTCAGTTACTTCTTGGATTAAGACAAGGCAAAATGTCATACACACTAAACATACCATTTCATAAAGTTATACATGCTTGCCAAATTTTGTGTTGTAACTAAGTAATTTGCTTAGGCAGGAATAAAAAAGCAGTAAAGAACACATTTTTTAGTATCAATAATACCATGGCCTGGTGATTAAAATGCTAAAAAAGCATTAAATATTAGGACAGTACAGGGCTCAAATTGGCACAAAACACACTTTGATGACCGTCCTGCAGAGAGCTTGAAGAGCAGTAATTAAATGGTCATATTTGTCATTGAACAAAAAATTACGAGGTGATTTTAAAACTTTTGGTTATTATATAATGGAAGAAAGAATTAGTTGTCAGCTATTGGGCTGGGAGGAGAACAGTCACTGCTCTTGGCTCAGTGCACATGTTCGTGACTGGTTAAAAGTGAGCTCTCAAAGCAGGCACCAAATATTATGTTTAGAGATTGAGAAATTTCTTCCTCCAAGTGTCTCCTTTGTATTTGAGCATTGCTGTGAGCAAGTCACGGCTGTGCAAACACCTTTGTATTACAGCGGAGGAAAGCAGTGGGCTTTGGGGACATCTGGCTTTCTGGGGGATGATATGGAGGTTGCTGGAAGCCTTCTTTGGAAATTATGTCTTTACTTGTTTTCCTTACCTGCTTGGTGATACTTAATGTTCTTTGTAAAAGACAAGGTCATTTTATTCAGTGATCTGCATGAAGATTTAAAGTATAAACACTCCTTCTGACTTCCGTCTACAGTGTAGATGTGTGCTGTGGCCTTTTCTGAGATGACTTGGATAAGGAAACAAAGGGAAACCATGCATTTCAGTCCCAGAGATAGATCAAATATTAGAAAAAGGAGGTTTCTGACCTCAAAGACAAATTGTCAACATAGGAATTTGGGCCAACATCGCCTCTGATTAAACCTGAAGACAAAGTTATGAATTAGCTTCAAAAGCAATTTCTCTTAGAAAAATAGTCTTTTCTTGGAAGTTTTTAAGGATCCCCTTACTTTATTTTTTAATCTATATTATGCAAAGCAAAACATAACATAATACTGTTATGACTCTTGAAACAAAGTTCAGCTATTTGGCTCTGATTGCCTTTGGCAGACACATGAGAAACGTTTAGTTTAGTAACATAAATTTTATTGTATATTAAAATCAACATGTGGAAAAGTCTTACGAGTTTATTTGTTACTTCATGAATAAATGAATGAATGAATGAAGTAGCATTGAAGAAGGAAGTATGGACAATCTGAAGAATGGACACAAGTTTTTGTCAAGTCACAGAGAAAGAAAGGAACTCATTAACACAGAGGAATTGACAGACAAAGGACAGAGGGCAAACACTGCTCTGTGGGTTTCCTGGGACCACTTGTGGTTTATTCTGGCAAGTGTGTTTGGCTTGTACTGATGCTTTCCCAGTATCCAGTCTAAGTTTTAAAATGCCTTTCCTTTTAACCCAATGAACTACATAGTAAGTGATTAGGAGACTACCAAAGACCAGGTGTTTTGCTTAAGCCACATTCTCAAAGGTCACCTCTTCTTGATTGACAAGTTAATTCATCTTTTCTCAATTCTTATCTTCCTTGACCTTTTTATAAGAATGGACATTCTTGACTGCCCCATAATTAATGACATCTCCTGTGGTGTCTATGTCACTGAGTGTTCCTCTTCCCTTTCCCTTGGTGGCTTATTTCTCTAGAGTGCTCTTCCCTCTCCCTACCCCAAGTAATGCATCCTGCTTTACTTTCAGTCTTCCATCTTGCTCCCTTTGACTTTTTGGAGCTCCCACTGACTCTAACAATTGTCATAAATTCCTCTAGATTAAAGGCTATGTTTTAGAGGTTTGGTTTGACTTCTGAATCCTTGTCTTCCAGTTTCACAATAGGGTAAATATTTTTGGTTTGGTGATTCACATGGTGTTCAATCCATTTTCTCCCCTTACTGTACAAAATATCAGATGCTGGGTAACTTTATAAAACATTTATTTAGCTCACAGATAGAGAGGCTTGAGAATCTGACAAGTATTCACATTTGTATTAGCTTAGTATCAGCTTTCACAAGGGTTGTCTTAGCTTTCACAAGAACCTATTGGTGGATGACATCACAACAGTGACAACAGGTGCAAAGGGAGAGGTCACATTTCCAGACTGGAATTCAAATAGGGGAGGAGTTGTTTTGTAGGAACACTCTTTTTTGTGTAAATGTAGTCTTCTTTCCAAGAGCATGCCTTCAATAATCTCATACTATCCACCCGTAGGTCCACTACTGTCACCAAATACCATCACATTGGGGACCACTCTGAGACCATAAGGTCAACTTTGGGGGTATCTGATGGCAGATAACATGTGAAATAAGGGGGAAATCCATAATAGTGCAAGTTTTCTACAAATGAAGGATGCCAAGTCTCTGCTTCATCATATGGTCCTGCACCATTTAACCGAAAAGGCCCTCTGTGAAATGAAAAGCCAGAGATATCTGCTTTAAAAGGTGATACATTGCTCCATTCACATTAATTCTTGGGAACAATGGGAAACAGCCATCAGTTGGACAAAATGTATTAAGCATAAAAATTTTATGAGCGTGCTTGAGTATCCATTATAATTATGAAAACACTGTGTTCTGGCAATTCCAATGTCCAGTTCTCCAGTGTTAAATGGAAAGCAAAGAGTATGATGGGAATAACAAGAAAGCTTTTGGGAAAGGTCTTTGAATCTGTCAGTCAGTGCAGAACACCACTGCACATCTCATTTATTTTAGGGCTCATTCATTTATTTGCAGGAAAGGACCATTTAAGTAATAACCTTCAATTAAGAACTTTAGTATTTGTAAAAAATTTTTCGCCTGTAGTGGAAACTACACACCAGTTTTAATACTTTAAATGCTAGAGAAATTAGGAGAGTATTGATTTAGTTCAGCTTGGTGTTAGAAATATATGATCAACAGTTGAAATAGAGAAAAAGTCACTGATACTCAGTAGACAAGTGCTATTGCTTTGCAAGCCTGAGGACCAGAGTTCAAATCCCCAGCACCATATAAAAAAAGCAGATCTTACTTCATGTACCTGTAATCCCAGCACTGGGGAGAAGAGTTAGGAAAATCCCAAGAGCTTGGTGGCCACACAATCTGGCCCAGTTTACAGAAAGACCCTGTCTCAGGACAATAAAGTAGAGAGCAACAGAGGAAGACATCTGCCATCTTGCTTCAGCTACTGCATACAGGTCTGTATATATACTACATATTTACATGCATGCACCACACACATAAACCATATATATGTAACACATAACACACACTAAACACAGCAAAAATAATAATATGATAAAATATAAGGAAATATGAGGAATGGTCCAGTTCTACCTTTATAATTTAATATATAAGAAAAGAGAAATGAGTGTTAAGTGACATGAACAGGGACAAGTGGGTTTAAAGCTTAAATTACTTAGCCAATTGAAACTTTCTTAGTTGTCAATATGTTGTATATATAAATATATACATATATTATAAATATATATGATATAAAATGGATGTATTTTATGGCTAGCTCTGATACTATGTAGATGAAGGAAAGTCATGTAATCATCATGATGCTAGGTCTTCTTACCTACCAGTTGGGAACTTTTTTACACAGCATCACCATGAGGAAAAAATGCAATGTATATAAAAACAGTGTAGCCCACTAGTTGGGGTTTCCTCAAATATTTATAATTTAAATAATTGTTCCACTGTCTTTTAGTCTGGCACCTGAGGGCCATGAATGAAATAGAAAGACTATGGGTGGTGCAGAGGCTCATTCTATTGTCTCTTGTCTAGAGAAACAGAGTTTGACTAAAATCTGGACACCTCTACCAACATAAAGGCCCTGCTAGGCCTCGTGACACATGCTTGAAATGCTAACCACTCAGAAAGCTGATGCAGGAGAATGGTAAGTTTTAGGCAAGTCTGGCTAATTTAGAGAGGCTCTGTCTCAAAATAGTTAATAATAATGAAGGTCTGGGGATATAGCTCAGTGGTGAAGTTTTTGCCTAGCATACATATTCAAAGTACTTAAAACAGAACAGTTTGATTTGAACTTTTTGAGGTGTGTGTGTGTGTGTGTGTGTGTGTGTGTGTGTGTGTGTGTGTGTAGGCATGCCACAGTAAGAGAGTATATTGGAAGGCACTTCAGATGGAACAGCTGATATGGCTTGGAAATTAAGGAGAATAGGAATGTTTTATCACTCTGTCTCCTACAGTACTCTAACATCCACCTTTTATCATTAGACATTGACTACTGGAGTGGACTGGCTTCTGAAGTTGTAAGTAAGGAAGACAGCTCTACCACCATATTGGGCTTTTCTGCCACAGCAACTTGACTGAAGGACTGCAAAAAGGAAATCTACAAAAACAGCTCCATTAAGGATTTCAGAGTGGTTTCCAGTGACTGCTGTCCAGGCCACCATCAGCATCTCACTGGGAAAAGGGAGTGCTGTGGGAGCTAAACACAAACTCCACTGAGCTCCGCACGTATCACAGCCACCAGCCACTCCCCACCCTGTGAGAATACAGCAACTGTGGTGATGGTGGTGATAGGGCAGTGTGTTGTCTTGGCTATTTACTTCCCACAGAGCTTTTTTTTTTTTTTTAAAGTGCCATGCGTGGAGAGTTGATCATTTAAAAGCATCATGGAATACAGCCCTGACCTGGAATAAGGAGAAACAGCAGGGGTCAGCCAAGGAGAGGAAATCAACAGCGATCTCATTTTCTTGTATTGCCACCCACCTTCCTCTCCCCTACAGTTATTTCTTACCCAGAGCACAGGAGAGCGTCACGGCTGGCCAACACTGTCCCCTACTGTTTGCTGCACCATTCGCTGTTTTACCCTCTCTTACCTGCTCTTTCTACTTTTCTCTTCTTTCCCTGCCCCCCCCCTTTTCCTGTACCCAGTCCTCTTAGTGTTGTGTCTCTCTAAGCCCAGAGTCAGACCTGGTTTGTGCTGTCTGCTACCATGAACCCAAATCCTCACATATCTACTCCATTTTTCACTTCATATCGATTGTGCCCACTCCTAGGTATGTCCTTCTCTGTTTCTTCCCATCAAACAATCTAACGCTTCTCACTAGTCCCACGGGAATTGGGTGCCTCTTTTTTTTTCTTTTTTACTTTGTATTTGTACTAGCATATTAGTGCGCACAGTACCATTGGGATCCCTTTAATCCCTAAATTAATCACTACTTAACAAACCTCTATTTTGCAGTCACCTGCCACTCTGCTATCAGAGCAAGTTAACTGCTGGATAGCAAATGTTGCAGACAGTATTGGGGCAGGCTGGAGATAACGTGTGGTGCCTGGAACACCACTTGTGTTGATTATTTAGTCAGTTTGGCACAAGTGAGAGTCATCTGAGAAGAGGAAACCTCAGCTGAGAAAATGCCCTAATCAAATTGGCCTTATAGGCAAGCCCATGGGGCATTTTCTTGAATGATGACTGATATGGAAGAGCCCAGAGCAGTGGTGTCAGTAAAAAACCCCTGGGCAGATGGCCCTGAGATTTGTAAGAAAGTAGGTGATCAAAGCATGAAGAGCAAGCCACAAAGCAGCATTCCTCCATGGCCTCTGTGTCAGTCCCTGCCTCCGGTTTCCTGCCTTGAGTTCCTGCCCTGACTTCTCGTCATGAGAGACTGTAAACTGTAAGACAAAATAAACCCATTTCTCCTCAAATTGCTTTTTGTCATGTTTTCTTTTCTTTTTTTTTTTTTTTTTTATCACAGCCATAGGAATGTAACAGAGAAAGAACTTGGTACTGGGTTGTAGAGTATTGCTATGACAAACTTGACCATGCTGTTTTGGGGAGGATTATGGAAGGACTTTGGAAACTTGGAATGGAAAAGTCATTGAGTGGTCAGAGTTTAATGAGCTGTTGAAGAAACCTAGGAGATAATGCTGAGAGAATAGAAGCCTGGCTTATGATGTTTCAGAGTCATTTGTATACTATTTTGTGTTAAGAACTTTGTGGTTCTGGTCAATTGGGACTGAAAGATCAGCTGTGGTTAATAAGGGACTAGTACTGTTGGGGGGTCCAAAACAGCTTGACCACATAGCTGCCATAACTGACTTACTGGCAGGCAACACCCAGATCCAGAAAAGGCCATAAGCTGATACCACCCAAGGATCTACCCAGGGATGGGCCAGTATCTAAGGGTAAGAACATGACATCCCAAACATTCCAACCATTAGATAAGATTAGATAGGATTGCCAGATGTCCCTGAGCCTACCACATACCTATTTTCCTTTTATCAAGGTATCCCTAGACAAATATCAGCCAATCAGGGTCCTGAACCCTGGGAATCCCCTCACCCCAACCTCTGCTATGATAAAAACCTACTCTATCTGGGCTCAAGGCTTTCTGCTCTCACCGTTGTGTCAGACAGATGGAGAGTCTAAGCTTGAGCTTTAAATAAAGGCTCTTTCTTTGCTTTTACATATGGGATTCAATCTCCATGGTGGTCTTTTGGAGGTCCCTGTGATCTGGGCATAACAGTACCACTAAAGTGAAGTGTTTGCTTTGCTAGGACACCTGATGCTGGCTAGCTACAGCTAAGAAATAAACCATGATTGAAGTAAAATCTTGGAGTATTTCTTCAGGGTCAGTACTCAGAAGCTATGGGCTAGAGAGGGCCAAGCATCATGCTAGCAGCTGGACTTGGGATTGATAATGTGTAAGAATCACCCTGATACTACTAGTTTTGAAAGCATAAAGGGTTTATGGAGAGCGTGTAAGACTTGGCACTCTACAGCAGGGATGGAATCTCCAAAGAAAGGCCAGTAGAGGCCACTGGTGAAGGTATAGCCACAGTTGCAATGGAGGCTCCTGGTAGGTCCACCATGCTCTGGTGCATGGTGCTACAACCCGGAGAATATGGGCAGCACTAATTGGAATCAATGGGTTAGTTTTTAAAAGGACACAAATTTGGGGGATAGGAAGGTAGAGGTGATGCTGAGAGCAATAAATGGGAGGAATTGGTGGTAAATATGATCAAAATACATTGTATGAAATTCTCAAAAAACTAATTTTACACACACACACACACACACACACACACACACACACACACACACACACCACTCTTGAAGGGCACTTTGGATAAACATTATTTTAGGATTCCATTGATAATTTGCCATTCCTCATAGATTAATGCTTCAATCATTCCTTGTTTTACCTTATTTTGTACTTCTTAGACAAAGTTTAATCAAAACTGAGTAATGGGGAGCTTGTGAAGATCTGGGAGCAGACTAGAAAGCATATATACAATGGTTTTGAAAGCGCATTTTTGAGAAGAGTAGAAAGGTGAAGGTCAAGAGATAATCAGTACAGAACTGAGGCAGCCAACAATTAGTAGGATTTAAATTAATTTAAAAAAGAAACAAAACAACTAAGCAATTTCACCCACCCTTAATTTTACCATCTGATTCTTCTTATAAGCAGAATGATAAAAGTTCTTAACTCAGTCCCATTCTGTAAAACCTGGACCTTTTTATTTAGTTCTTCCCCCCACAAGTATACAGTCTTTATCATGTCATAAGGATGAGAGAGTTTGCAAGCATTAACTCATTTAATTATTGGATCAGCAGCCCTTTGAAGTAGCTCTGTTAATATTTTATCTTGAAAGTCAGGGAACTGAAAAACATAAGGATTTTATAACTAACAGGGATTGAACAGTAACTGACTCTCATAATTTCTTTCTAAAATTAATATTTTCTATAGGCTATAATGCTTAGCTAGTCTGAACAATTGTTTTGAACACTCAGTAGAATATTCTACTCTTCTAGAAGATAATTTATCTCAAAACATTTACCTATTACTTACAACATCTTTAGTTGGACTCCTTCAAGATATCTGACAAAACTACAAGCATAAGAATACCATCAAAATATACAGATACACAATACAAAGCCATGCAGTGCACACCTGTCATCCCAGCCCTTGGGAGGAAGAGGTGGGTTTCTGTTACTTCAAGGCTCATCTGGTCTACATACAGTTTCAAGCCCACAAGGGCTCTTTAGTGTGACTTCATTTCAAAAGCAACAGCAAACAAAACCCAGAAGCTCAAAACAAACAAACAAACCCACAGAGATATACAATATAAAAACAAATAATTAAATGAAAATTCAGTAGCAACAAAACAAAGCATTTCTAAGATTTTGCAGACTTCCTGAAAATTAGATTCATGATATCTGACTGATTTCAGCTTGGTTGAGTTTCTTTTTTCATTTTTTTTCAAAATCATTTCCTTCTGTATTATGGATTTTTTTTTCCATTTTACATACCAACCATATATCTCCCTCTCTTCCTTCCTCCTGCCAGCCCCCAAGCCTTTTCCTCTAACTCCCCACCCCAATTCCCTCCTCCGACAAGGTTAGCCTCTCATAGGGAGTCAGCAGAGCCTAGCATCCAGTTGAGGCAGGTCCAAGCTCCTCCCCCTGCATCAAGGCTGTGCAAGGTATCCCACCATAGGTAGTAGGCACCAAAAAGCCAGCTCATGCACCAGGGGTAGATCCTGATCCTACTGCCAGGGAGCCCCTTAAGCAGATCAAGCCACACAACTGTCTTACTTATGCAGAATGCCTAGTCCAGTCCCATGGAGCCTCCACAGCTGTTAGTATAAAGTTCGTGAGTTCTCACTGGTTTGGCTTGGTTGTCTCTGTAGGTTTCCCCAACATGATCTTGATGCCCCTTGCTCATAGAATCTCTCTTCCCTCTCTTCAACTGAACTCCTGGAGCTGGCCCAGGGCTTGGTCTCTGCATCTGTTTCTATCAGTTACTGGATGAAGGCTCTATGATGACAGTTAGGGTATTCACTGATCTGATTACTGGGGTAAGCCAGTTTACATATCCTCTCCACTATTGCTAGTAGTCTAAGCTGGGGACATTTCCTGGGAACTTCGTTAGCACCAGGTTTCTCCCTATCCCCATGATGTCTCCCTCTATCATGGTATCTCTTTCATTGCTCTCCCACTCCATCCCTGTTCCAGCTCGACCACCCTGTTCCCTTATGTTCTCATCCCTCATCCCCTACATCCCTCATCCCCTACCCTCTATTGCACCCCACCCCAAGTTTACTCATGGAGATCTCATCTATTTCCCCTTCCCAGGGTGATCTATGTGTCCCTTGCACATCTGACAGAGGGCTAATCTCCAAAATATATAAAGAACTCAATAAACTAGACATCAAAATACCAAAAAATCTAATTAAAAATGGGCTACATATCTAAACAGAATTCTCAACAGAAGAATCTCAAATGGCTGAAAGACATTTAAGGAATTGCTCGATGTCCTTAGTCATCAGGGAAATGCAAATCAAAATGACTATGAGATACCATTTTATGCCTGTCAGAATGTCTAAGATCAAAAACACTGATAACAGCTTATGTCGGAGAGGATGTGGAGCAAGAGAAAAACTCCTCCACTGTTGGTGGGAGTGCAAACTTGTACAGCCACACTGGAAATCAGTATAGCGCTTTCTCAGAAAATTGGTAATCAGTCTACCTCAAGACCAGCTATACCACTCTTGGGCATATACCCAAGGAATGCTCAATTATACCACAAGGACACATGCTCAACTGTGTTCATAGCAGCTTTATTCATAATAGCCAGAACCTGGAAGCAACCTAGATGACCCTCAACCAAAGAATGGATAAAGAAAATATGGCACATATACACAATGGAGTACTACTCAGCAATAAATAACAATGACATCATAAAATTTGAAGGCAAATGGATGGGACTAGAAATATCATCCTGAGTGAGGTAACCCAGACTCAGAAGGACAAACATGGTATGGACTCACTCATAAGTAGATACTAGATATAAAGCAAAGGATAGCCAGACTACATACAACCCACAGCTCCAGAGAAGCTAGCTAACAAGGAGAGGACCCTAAGAGGGACGCATGGTTGAGTATCTTAATCTTAGCTTTTCCAACTAGAATCAGATGGTGAAAACATGTCATCTGCTTCTTAGGTATCAAGTTTCTGGGCAGAATGGTCAACATATAACTTCAAATAATCCATCGCAGTTCAGATTGTTCAACTTGTATTATTTAAGAGTCCTTGTTCAAATTTACTGTTAGAATATTTGCACTACAAAATATGCAGTGGAGGAAAAATCAAGGTAGACTAAAGTGTTTGGTCTTTGTGAAGCCCAAAGCACTTGAAGTTTCTAGAAAGGCTGTTAAACTTTAACTATCCCTAATCCCAAGTGCCAAGAATTACAGCTTTTTCTCTTTGGCCAGTTTAGTATTTTTTTTCTTGTTAAAAGTACACTTTTTTCTTTTGTAATATATCTTAATTATGCTTTTTCCTCTCTATTCCTCTCACAGCTTTTCTTCACTTCTTCACCCATCTTGGTCCACCCCTTTCTGTCTCTCATTAGAAAACAAACAGGCTTCTAGGGGATAATAATAAAATATAATAATATAAAACAAAAACAATCAATCATATCTGAATAAGATAAAACAAACAGAAAGAAAAGTGCCCTAGGAAAGGCACAAGAAACAGATATAGATGCAGAGACCCACTTATTCTCACCCTCAGGAATCCCATAAAAACAAAAAACCAGAAACCATAATATTGGCTGGTTCACTCAATAATGGTGACCTCAATTATCTCTACATTCCTTCTTCATTAGAGCACCCT